CTTCTAACATGTCTATAGAATGTGCAGCCAAGAAATGGAAGTCAGACACGTACAATAAAATGGATTCTTTTCATGATTAAGTTATGAATGACTCGGGAGACTATGATGAGGATGATTTTATCATATCTAGTAGATCACATGATGTGGCTAAAACAGATTTTCCTCTACACAATGTGTGTGTCAGGATAATGATTGAATATTGTCCACTAGCTAACAGTTAAACACAAACAGAACAGAAGATCTTGGTACATACTAGTGACTATGCAAAGTAGGTTTACTTCATATTAACTTTTTTTTTTTTTTTATGAGATGTGTTTTTGCAAGTTTTTGACTTAATTTTTTGAACAAATATTTAAACTGGTTTTATTTCTCAGTAAATAAACTGAGTAATTATTATATGATTCTAGTCAAGATGTTATGTGTCAGACCTTAAGGAAATTATAACATTATAATTTTTCCAATTTTACTGGATATAAAAATTGTACTGATTGTTACTTTGCTTATTCATGAAATTAATTTACCAGGTTTTACCTCTTACCCTGACTTTGCCCATGAAATATGACCGCCGGTTCACTTAATTGAAAAGAAGTACAATTCAGTCAATACAAATTAACTTTTATTGCCCAGTTTCATAAACAAAGAATAAAGATACAGCATCAGCCCATGTACTGTTTAGTGGGGGCTGCTTACAGCTCTCATGTGTTTTTGAAACATCAGGGCACGGTTATAAGTTGTTTTATTTTGCTTATTTCAAGTATGCTCAGCTTTGGACCAGCATGTCCTGGTAATGGAAAAAGGAGGGGCTGGTTCTAGAGGCTTGGGTTTAATGCCAATTGCCTCCAAACTTAATCACCCTGTTTTTGTTATGGCAACACTACTAAGGCCATATGCCACCGTCACTAATTTTTAACTACCAACTACAAGGAAGGCAACTAGCTGGCAACACCTGCTGCAAACTCTTTAGCTACTAAGGTGTTATACAAAATGTAAACTTACTATTTACCTTGCTTTATGTTTCTCATTTAGAAGTGTGTAACTATATTTTTTAATGTTGTATAAGCAGGGATGGATGTAGGAGATCTGGATCTCCCTCCATTTTTTCTCAGAATTTAACAACTGCATTCTTTAATGTTGTATAAGCAGGCTAGATCTAGAAGAGAAGTCCAGGGGATCTGGGCCCCCTATTCTCCTATTTGTTTTTTAACGTTATATAAACTGGCACAGATCTAGAGGAGGGAATTTAGAAATTAAAAAAAATTGCCAGATGTCCTTATACTACTATGTAGTATCACAAAGAAACATTAGATACTAGTGTTTTTATTTAATTGGGTTATTATTACCATAAAAGCCTTTTTTTGAGATTTTTCTGAAATCAACATAGCTGGATTCTACAGCAATCTATTTAACCCCTCATCCAGTAACTGATTTTTTTCTATGCTAATACAACAATATAAATTTCATGGTAACTTTTCAGACACTAAGACTTCAGAAAATCATTTTCATCAAATTTAATATTGTTTAGGACACATGCAGCTCTTATAACATACTTGTTACCCAATTTGGTTTTAATTGTTTAGAAGTCATAAGTCTCATGAAAAAATATTTTATACACCAGCAATACAAAAAACAAGTGAAAATGCTAATGGTATGATTAAAATTAAAGACTTTTTAGAAACAAGTATCCTATTTACAAACAAACTCTACATTTTTTTTAAATATGACTTTAAATAATTATAACTATATAACTTTCATTAAAAAATGTGCAATGTTTGTTCTTAACTGTTTTTATTTATACATCAATCATATTACAAGAAAAGAAAATACATGCTTTGAAGCTGCTGAATTATACTCTGAATGAGCTAATTATTTACAGAATATTTTAATTTTGTTTTACTTATTTTGGTTACTTTACGATTATATAATCAAAGCTGATTTATCCACAATACTAAATTATTAGAGTGCCGGTCTTTTCCTTCATGCAAAAAGTACTGAAAATTTGGTTACAATGTTACACAACTAATTTCTAAACATTAACTGGTATCATACCATCCTTGTCAAAATGAAACATTACTGTAGCTAGCATGAAGAAGTTAAATATTGTCATTACTTGTTAACACACCAATACTATATTATTTGAAAACTTTCTAATTCTATTCTCATTCATTCCCTAATGGTTTTCAAGATAAAATTACAAATATCAAAACTGTTATTTTACAAAATAAATAGATGTTAGGCTATTTTTAATTTTTTTTGTAAGCTGTTTGATGTCAAATTTAGACTACTAGGTTTTTACTTTGGCTAAATACACATTTGCTTAAAAAATAAATAAAATCAGATGCAATCATTGATTTCTCTTTATTGGTCACAAAGTGTTTGAGTTACAAACATCTAAAACAATACTGAATTGTAGATGAGGGAAAGGGTGGATTTTCAGAAAACATTTTACAAGGTGCCACACAAAAGACTCATTAAAAAGAGAAGGTTCAAGAAAGGGTTACTAGGGTGATACCCAAGATGAAAAGGTTGTTATACAAGGACAGGTGAAGATCTTTGAAAAAGAGGAGTTAGAGGGGATTCAATTGAGGTGTTTAAGATTGTTTTAAAAGGGAACTTACAATGTTGATGCATCATCTTGTTTCGTAATTAATGATGAGAATGATAGCACAAGGGGACAGAAATATAAATCTTAGTATAGCAGGAGCCATTTTCAGCTAAAAGTTTTACTTTTCTAACATGATGGTTGACATTTGAAATGGGTTGGTTTCAGATGTAGTGGATGCAGTAAATTTAAGGGAGGGCTTGATAAATATTTAGGACAAGGGCTGGTTTTGAGGGTTTTATTATTATCATCACTATACACACATATATAACTTTTTTAAAAGTTTAGTTTAGTGAAAGGAACAGCCTAGATGGCTAGACAAATCCTTGTTATCCTTAAATGTTATGGTATGTTTTTTCTGTGTTAAGCACACACACACACTGTTTTAAGAACTAGTATACTTTACTGTGTTGGATATTATACCACCCAAAATAATTCACAGTGAAAGTGTATTATACCTGATATTATAAAAACTATCCTTCCTAAACTTACTGAACAAGAAACATTTTGTCTTATTGTTCTACAAGACACTGTTATCATTGGTGTTAAACTGCTTCAGTTTTTTCAGTAATGAGTTATATAAATATCAATATATAAAATTTGTATCAACATTTTTTACTTGAAATACTTAAGTTTCAACTCTTCAAGATAACCTACCTCAGACTTCCAAATTCTCTTAAACTGTACTATTTGTTGAAATTTAGCTATTTTAAACTGTGAATGTTTTTAAGTTTAACTTCACACTTAGTCACTGACAGTATATTGATGCTACAACTTCCTTTATATATATATATATATATATATAGATAGATAGATAGACACACACAAACACAGAAGGCAGCACTATATATTAATGAAATAACCAATGAGTGTTGATTTTCATTTGATAATTTCAGGCAAAACTACATACAGGCCCTCTGTACATAGTCATCTCAAATTTTGAGATGATAGACTAGAGAGAAGATGCCTCATCAAGGGTGCCTTCTGCCAACTCTCGTCTGATTGAACAGTCGGAAATGACTATCACTGTTGCAACAACACACCTGCAGCTCTAAAGTGCAGTGCATTTTTGCGGCAAAAGGTCATGAATAGTGAATTCTTAGATTCACAATCTAACAAGCTAAGCCACTAGATCACACTCAGTCCCTATACAAATATTATTTCTTAATTAAAATAAAATTATGAGTTAACATGAAGATGATATATCATGTGCAAACCACAACTGACTCCATTCACTAGTATCTCATTCATGTTGGTGATAAGGCTTAACAATGCAACATGATAGAAATCAAGGGAGCCAGTATTTGGAAAATTTACTGGTTAGTGATTTTAGTGGGATAAAAACTTTAACATTAATTTCATACACTTAAAGTAGTTTAATATTCTATAGTAAATTTAATATTTTTGTTTATTCTAAAGTTTTTTTCTTTGATGTCATTAATTCCTACACTTTACATTCCATTAACCTTACACTTACAATAACATCATGTTCCAACTTAGGTCTAACAAATCACTGAAATTTACTGTTATCAATATCAGTGTTGTACAATTCTGCCAACTTTGCAAGAATACATTATCCACATACACACTCACTCACTCACTGTCTCAGTCTTAACAAATTGTATATAATTGTTTTTTCAATATTATATCCTTTAATGGTTTATTTCTCCATTCCATAATATTAATAAAGTATCACATTTGTTTGCTCTTTTTCAAAGTATTATAGTAATTTCAAACATTTCAGGCTCAATTTTTTAAACGTAATTTACTGACGTTGATAAGGGGAATTTTACGCATTAAAAAAATTACAAAGTTGTCGAATAGAATTAGAAAATCTCACATGTTTAGATAAATTGTTAGGTTGTTTCATTTATAAGATGGTACGTCCTAACTTTTAAACACTGCGTTGACCTACACTACAGCACTTTACTTACTAAAAACAGTAAAACTAAGTGACATTTGACACCATGGATCGTGAAAGACACATATTTACTTATTAAAATTATTAATGTTCATTCACTAGTGTAAAAAATATAAATGTATAATATCCGAATACCACTTTATATAGAATTAATTTTACGGTTCATCAAACAATAAAACCTGTTAATGGTAATACTTTTCACTGGTTAACTAGCGTATATCCTAAGCCTAAAATTTATAATGATAAACACTAAAAAAAAAAAAGGAACACTTAACAGCAATACTAATAATAATATAGACACGTAGCGCCTAACGACACAGCCAATTCTTTCCTATAAACTCCATGATTAAACTGAGTAACAAGAAAATAAATAATTTTATTGATACTTATATACCTACTTATAATTACTACGAAACAATAATTTCAAAATTCGCAAAAAGGTTAAAGAATCACCATACAACTTTTATAAGAATTACTTACCACTCATAGCACTTTCAACGTCCATTTTGTCTCACATGGTACAGAAAACTAAGCCTCGTGATTGGTTGGTGTAAGCTGAAACTAAGGATTTCGCGCCAGTAAGTATCTTATAACTTATTAATTAATTTGTTTCAAGTTAATAATTGAAAAGGCTGCAACTTATGAATTATTTGAATACTTTTTTAACCAGCACGTGAAGATAATTATTAGTTCACTGCTGCCTAAATCTGATATTCATATACCAAGATTAAATACATTTTTACCATTTCCGAACTAAAACACGTTAACTTTACAAAAATGTTTCCTGTGTTCAAATTCAAACTTTTTTCTCTTTTCCAGACAGACAGACTCTACTTCTATATTATAAATGAGCAGCAGTATGGTAATTAATACTGTAGATTCTGTTATACACTCCTCCTTTCATACAGAAATATACATGTTCGGAATTAGTATTTACCGTCTGAACCATTTTGTTATTTTCACTTTTTGTGTAATAAGGTCAGGTAATTGTTTTAGATACAACTTCATAGTGAGTTCATTCTCCTGGCCACAGGTAGACCAATTCATCACACTTTTTCAAAATTCAATATAATCAGGTGATTAACTTTTTTGTATGATTTCCCAGGAAAGTTTGGTGTCTGATCAAAGTTAAAATAATATTTTGACAAATTAAGTATATTCCCTATTTTTAATGACATTTTACATGTGTGTTACTAAGTAGCTTTTACGTTTATAAGCATGTAAAATAACAACATCTAAAGCAAAAAATAACATGTGTTATTGTTACTGGTTTTTTTTTCGCTCAATGTTACATAATGTGCTGTCTGCGTTTTGTACTCCACTGCGGAGAATTGAACCCCGGAATTTAACATTGTAAATCTGGAAACTTACCTCGTAGCTACCATGTAGATATATAATATAATATATATATATATATATATATATATTATGTATAAACACAAAATATAAAGAAATATAAAATATATATCTTCCCATTCGTTCTTTCAATTTTTTTTTCAATACATCACGACTTGCCCTCCAGGGCTTCGCATATTGACAGCAATCACTTACCAATGTGGTGTGTCTTCAGTTTCGTCTCCTATGAAAATAGATAAATAAATAAATTCAAACTGAATTACAAATAAGCAAACAGGCATGACTATGCAGTCACTCTAGATCAGGGGTCACCAAACTACGGCCTGCGGGCCGGATCCGGCCTGCCGCTGCACTGTGCCACAAATGAGCTAAAATATAATTATTTATATGGAAATATAATAGATTGTAGATAAACTTACTATGTAAAAAAAAATAAAGTAAGTGTAAGT